TAATATTACAGACATTGAGTAAATGTTATTAAGAAGATACTTCACGAACAAATTGTCTGTCTTACAAGTAAGTAGTATACCAAATTTTCACTCAGCAGATCAAATTTATCTTCTTTAATTTGAAACTAGAATGATTCAACCTCTCATGAAATTTGATGATAAGAACATAGATTTATTAATTTAATAAACATTAATTTATCCTCTTGCCAAAACACTGGAGTTAAGTTTACTAAACATTTTCTGCACTTTTTCTGCAAACCTTGAAAATCTTATTCTAAAAAATAAAGGAATTTAAAAAGGATCTTAAACTTATAATAAGCCATATTTTTATAAAGTACTTACTAACACTAAGTATATGCAAAGACTGTAGGTAATATACAATGTTTCGATAAATTTTTTAACAAGTATTAATTGCTATGACTCATTAAACCAGTATAGGTAATTGTTCAAAAAATAAAAAAGTACCTATCTAATTTACATTTGAGTACCTATGTTTATTAAAATGATAAATTACTAGATGTTATAAGATATTATTATCTGGTTTAAGCTCCTATGTTATAATTTCATATTTTAATTTGTGTTGTATAATTATGAAAAAGTAAAATATATTATATCTTTATGTTTTGAATTACAACTAATACCTAGGTACTATAAAATGTATATTTAACATAATTATATTGTTTATCGTATTGGCAATAGAATTTATGAAATAAACTAACGGATTTATGAAATATGTGCAAATATGCAAATACCTACTATAAAATTTAAATTATTTAATATTTCTAACTAAAAACTATAATCATTGATAGACAATAGTATTGATCGGTGTCACGAATTGAATTTGTTTTCATAAACATTTCAAAGGGAGTAAAATAGGCAATTATTTTAACAATCTCTAGGAGACAATGATCAGAAATTATTCACCAGTGCCCTGTATTATGGTATATACCTAGTATTTGAAATATGAACTTCCTTTTAAATATTTTTACAACAACTAAACACTAAGATTAAAAACCAACTTCACTTTATTGCTAAGATTTTGTCCTGTCGTTCGACAGGGTCGACGCCGCTGGACCATAGGTCGGCCAACTTATTTGTGGAGTTAATATAAGATACTATAATATGTAGATTGTAACCAATTGTAGGTATTTTTATTATTTTCGAAATAAAATTATATAAATATAAGTTATATGATACCTTACCTATATAAATCGAAATGATCATAAGTTATGAAATTTGTACAATAATAAATTGTGATAATTATTATAAACAATAAGTAATAACTAATGAGTAAGGATTGTGAATGGTGCCATCGTGGGCTGATTCTAATATAATTAGATCCCTCGTAATCTTTTGATGTCTTTATACGGACGATTACCTATAGTAACACTTTTACCACTATATTATTATTGATTAGTAGGTATTTACCTACCTATTGTACCGTACCTATCTTATTAATACAACATATTACTTAATAATTTTTTTTTTATACACATTGTTATGGAATTCATATACAATTTATATACTCGTAATACAGGTATGCATTTTTTTTTCCAGTAATATATT